CTCCTTCCGACCTGGAGACTTCATTTCCCAGAATTACCCAGCCCACAATTGCATGAGAATCCAGGCTTCCCGATTCACACAACGCCCGGAGACTCACTCTTGATCATGCTGACGTCGTTGGCCCCGTCCCCGATGGCTAAAGTCACGGCCTTCTTGTATTTCTTGACCAGCTCCACCACCTGGGCCTTCTGCAAGGGGGTGACCCGGCAGCAGATGACCGCCTTGCAGGCGCACGCCGTCTCCAGGAACTCCAGTTCCATGTCGGCCTCCAGCGCGTGGGCCTGGGAAGGGAGCAGGGGGGAAAATCTGGGTTTTTTATGCGTGCCTGAAAGGATGTTTTTTTTAAAATGGCACCTCCGTGGCCAGCAGCAGTCTACCTTAGAATGAGCTTTTCTTCCTGTTGTTGCCCGGACTGGAGAAATGGAGAAAAGAAAGGAAGGAAGGAAAGAAGAAGGAAGGAAAACAAGAGGGAAACTGACTCTTATCCTTTGGGGGGGGATTTGCTCATCTGAGGTAGGTGGGCTTTTGTCAAAGCAGAGACTGTCGCCGTAGGGACCGGAGGGTCCATCTTGATGATCTCTAAAGCACCCCCTCCCTTTGGAAATTCTACCGGCGCTAGTCCCAGATCGGCCTGTTCTTTTGAAAGCAGCCGCCTCCCTCCGTACGTACCAGGCTGTGTCCGTTGATGACCAAGGCGTATTCTCCGGCCACGGCCTCCAAGACGGACGTCAGCTTTGAGGCGGAGAGCTTCTCCTGAAAGGCGAAGCCGTTGCCCATCGACCGCGAGGCTTCCATCAACTTCTCTCGGGCCTTCCTGTCACAGGAGGGGGAGGCCCGGAGGAAAGGAGGAAGGCCACCGTTATTCAGCGTCCACGGGGGGGGGGGGTGTTTCAGGACTTTCTTGGTTTTTTTTTTTCCTCTGAAGAGGTTTCGCTCCTTGTTCCGGAAGCTTCTTCTGCTCTGACTGACAGCTCAGTCCTTCAGTCAGAAGCAAAGAAGCTTCTGGAATGAGAAGGGACACCACTTCAAGGGGAAAAAAAAACAACAAAAATATTTATATTCCTTGCAGACCGCTGGTCCTTTGCCTTCTTTTAGAGGGTGGCTGAGGCCACCCGGAGGTGTCTGAGGAAGCCGGATTCGCTTAACGGCCGTGTGACTCTCTTAACGACGGCAGCGGCAAGGAAGGTGTCACGGTTCCAAAAGATGAAACTCTTCAAAGAACTTGTTTACCTTAAAGAATCTTTAATTGAGCAGCATAGCTTCGGCACGTACATGGTTGAAGCCAAAATCTGAATTCTCCTCCCCTAAACGCATAGCGTCAAAACACGATTCCCTCCTCCAATTAACAGTCATAAATCACATTCCCCAATTAGTTTGAAATGCAAACCTTCCCTCAGGTTCCATAACCCGCCATTCCTTATCTTCTCTTATTTCAGACAACCTTGAAGAAGACTCTACTGAGGTGTTGTTATGTCTAACTAATCCCCATGCACATTCTTCCCCCTCCCCTCTAGCATCATCTAATTCTAATATGCAGGTTAAAGAGAAAATGGCTGCGTCTTCATATATTGTCAAAGCGAGAGCATCCGATGTTAGCAGTGTTGACGGAAGGCTGAGTTGTCATCCGTAAATCGAGGACTATCTGTATTTAAAATACCCGGACACAAGATCCCAGGAAAGGGAGGGGGGTCTTGGAAAAGCCCACTCACCGCAGTTCTTGCCGGACCTCAAAGACGGTGTGGCCAGAGATCACAAACACCTCCGTCATTTCGTCGGTCAGCATCTTGCAGGAATAGCCAATGTTGACTGCGGTTTCTGAGGAAGGGGAGGCAGGGAGGGTCCTGAGCCAGGAGCCATCCAACCGAATCCTCCTTCGAAGCCGGGGGACTACAGGACCCATATTTGTCCGCGCAACCAGGGAGGGAAAAAGTTTCCCTCTTCCCTTCTTTAAATGGGTATCGGAGTCCTGGGTGGCGCCCAGGGTTTGGAGGCGACAAAATAAAGAGACCACACAAGCCCACCAAAAAAAAAGGGACCACACAAGCCCACGAAAAGTGAAACTGCAAAATACAGATTTGAAGAGAGGAGACACAAAAACTAGAAAGGCAGCAGGAGGCAAAGGAAGAAGAAAGAAAAGCCGAAGGGAGAAAGGAACCGTAGAGAGAAAACGTGGAGAAGGAAAACATACAACACAGGCACACAAACAAAAAAAATTAAAAATAAAATACGGAGGGAAACGTTGAAGAGAGGAAAGAAACCACATATACATAAAGAGAATCAACAGAGAAGAAAGAAAGAAAGAAAGAGAAAGAGAAAGAGAAAGAGAAAGAAGAGGGAGGAAGGAAGGAAGAAAATTTAAAAACACAAAAGTTAAAATCTCCCTTTGGCACAAGCCAAGATTCACCTTGTTTGTCCCCCGTCAGGACCCAAATCTTAATGTTGGCCAAGCTGAGCAAAGCGAGGGTCTCTGGAACTCCCTGCTGCAGTTTATCTTCAATAGCCGTAGCTCCCAGCAGCTGCGGGAGAGAGAAAACGGGGGAAAATATTCTTATTTTGATACAGAGAGGCCTCGAATTACAAAACACTTCGTTTAGCGGCCGTTCAAAGTTACAGCGGCACTGAAAAAACTGACTTACGACCGTTTTTCACACCCACGACCGTTGCAGCGGCCCCATGTGGGTCACGTGATCCAAATTCAGACGCTTGGCCACCGACTCGTATCAATGACGGTCATGGAAATGCAGGGGTTCCATTGCGGTCGTAAGCCGAGGACTTAACCTAAGTAGCTCCAGCTATCCTTAGACTCCTCCCCCCCCAGACCCTTTGGGGAATTGCTTTGACGGTTTTGCAAACGGTCTTAAGAAATGATGGAAAAAGGGGTGGGGGGAGCTGGAGAGGGAGGAGAGGGGAGCTGCCCAAGGGGAAGAGGACACCGTTCCCCCGAAATAATAAAGGGGAAGGGTCTCGGCACCCACCACCAGGTCGTTTTCCACCTCCTCGTACAGCCGAGCGATCCTCTCTTCGCGCCCCTCCCCGGCCAGCGAGGCTTCCTCCAGCCGCTCGGCCCAGCCGGCGTAATATTTCTCCTCCAGGTCCCGACAGGCCAGCACCAGCGTCCGGAGACCCTCGCCCGCGTATTCCTAAAATCAGGAAGAAAAATGAGGAGACACACACACACACACACACACTGGCCGTCTTAGCCTTATTGCCACGCACACAAACACCCACAGACACACACACACCCATAGACACACACACCCCCTACGTCGGTCACTTACATTGAGATGATCAGTGGTGACGTTGTATAATTCTTGGTTGCCGGGATAAAGTCGTTCCAGAAGGATGATATCGGCCCCTTTGCAGTACAGGCGGATTTGCCCCTCCGGATTCCGCACTGGGGGTGGCGGGGTGGGGGTAGGAAGAAGGGATGGAGGGAGAAAATGAAGGAAGAAAAAAGAGAAAGGAGTATAGGAAGAGAAGGGAGGGAGGGAGAGAGGAAGGAAGGAAAGAGGGAGGTGGGAAGCAATAGAAAGGGAAGGAAGGAAGGAAGGATAAAGAAAGGGAAGAAAGGGAGAGAAGGAGGGAGGGAGGAAAAGTAAAAAGGAGAAGGAGAAAAAAGAAGGGAAGGGAAGGGTGAGAAAAAAGGAGTATAAGAAGAGAAGTAAAGAAAGGAGAGTCAGAGAAAGAAAAGGAGTATGAAGGAAAGGAGGGACAGGAAGGGAAAAATAGAGTTTAGAAAGGAAGATATATCATGTATTTACTTACAATAACTATACCAGGTTCTCCACCATCCGTTTCCCCCCCCAACAGCCCTGCAAAGTAGGCCAGCGTTGAGGGCTCCGTGATCTCCCTGGCCGTCACCTCCCCGTCCTCACCAATGACTGACATGCGTTTGCGCACGTGGTTGAAGTCCAAAATAGCCAGAAGTTGGTAAGTGACGGACCGTCCCAGCTCCTGCACCGTGATCGTCTTTGGGGTGCGTCCACGGAAGACAAAGCCGAAATTGCGGGCGGCGGTCACTAAGGCTCCCTCGTCAGGAGACTGGGCTTTGTAGTACAATTCTCCTGTTAAAGGAAAGGGAGGGAGGGAGGGAGGGAGGGAGGGAGGGAAGGAAGGAAGGAAGGAAGGAAGGAAGGAAGGAAGGAAGGAAGGAAGGAAGGAAGGAAGGAAGGAAGGAAGGAAAAATAATATATGATTCCTTCCAGACAGATTCCGCACACGATCCCTCATTTCCCAGGCTTCTTCTGTTTCTCCGCATTTCAAACGTCAGCTTCAATTCTCCCTTCCCCACCTGGGCACTTCTCTTCAGACATGACGGTGTGGCAGAGCGACAGGAGACGGAAAAACTCGTGGACGTGAAGGTCACCCAGCTTGACCGTTTCCAAAAGCCCGGTGTCCCAGAAGGTAAAATTGGGATCCGCCAGCGAGTTGAAGGAAAAATCCACCGGATCAGTTTTCTTGGGGGGGAAAAAGGGGGGAGGAGAGAGGTTAGAACCAGCTTGAACAGTAAATAGAATGGTGATTGGCCCAACCAGCCGGCTTTTCCGCCTAAGGCAGGACTAGAACTCCCAATCTGCTGGTTTCTAGCCTGGTGCCTTAACCACTAGACCAAACTGCCGGCGTTGTTACCTTTCCGAGCTCCGCCTTGTATCCAAGATCATCCAGAGCGTCTCCTGTGGAAAAGAGCAAGACTCAGAGTGGGGAAGAGGAGCAAGAAAAGCATCAGCTCTTCCAAATACAGGTAAGTCCTCAAACGTACGACTGTAGTTCACCCACCCAACTTATGACCACCCAGCCTAAGGTATGGAACGGAGATGGCGGAGGGGCGGAAGGACTGACCGTAGCTGCGTCCGTGGATGGAGCACTTGCTGAAGACCATGATGTTTTGGGTCAGGGTGCCCGTCTTGTCCGAGAATATGTACTCCACCTGGCCCAGCTCCTCGTTTAGTGTCGTGGTCCGGGCCTCGGCCGGCGTGCACCGTTTCGCGCAATACATTTTCTTATCCCAGTTGATGAAGTAGCTGTGGCCCAGGCGAATCACCTCCACACTGCCAGAAAGAGAGCAGGGACGGTTGGGAGCCCCGAAGCCCATGTGCCTTCGCCCACCGATAGGATGCCCAAAGTCCCTGAGGCAGTTTCTCTTTTTCCCCATTTATTTATTTATTTATTTATTTATTTATTTATTTATTTATTTATTTATTTATTTATTTATTTATTTATGCTTAATTATTAATCTCCCATGCTAGATAGATAGATGATGATAGATGATAGACAGATAATAGAAGAATGAATAGATAGATAGATGATAGACAGATAATAGATAGATAGATAGATAGATAGATAGATAGATAGATAGATAGATAGATAGATAGATAGATAGATAGATAGATAGATAGATAGATATCACATAGACATAGGGAGATAGATAGATAGATAGATAGATAGATAGATAGATAGATAGATAGATAGATAGATATCACATAGACATAGGGAGATAGATAGATAGATAGATAGATAGATAGATGATGAGACAGAGAAAGACAGAGAGAGGAGAGAGAGAGAAAGAGAGATGTCTATCAAATTGGTTTTCTGGGAGGATCCTGTGACCACAGCTGTTTGTCCCTCAGCCCCCTGGCTTCTAAGACAGACTGCTCCTACCCCTGGAGGCTCTCTTCCTTTGGCCGATGAGCTTCTGGAGCATTCTTATTTCTTTTTTCAGGGTGAGGGTCTGCTTGAGGGGGTCCGCAGGAAATGAGCAATCCATAAAAGAATAGCGGGGGGGGGGGGGGAACAAAGAGAGCCGGAGGAAGGGGCCGGTCACGGGGCTCTGATTTTTGCTACGGCCTTGGAAGGAAAGAGGAAGGGGGGGGGAGTCGGGCGAGGGAGGCAGGAAATGCCACAAGCCAACATCAAAGGGAGATTTGGTTCCCACCCGGAGCTTGGAAAAACAGGGGAAGGAGACCTCTTACCTGGGGGCTGCAGAGCGGGAAAGACACAGTCATGCACAGGGGAAGGCAAAAGAAAAAGAATTTTTTTTTAAAAAAAAAAAAAGGAAAGGAAAGGGAGGGAAGAAAAGAAAAGAGGAGAGGAGAGAGAGGAGAGGAGGAGAAGAGAAGAGAAGAGAGAGGAGAAGAGAATAGGGGAAAAGAAAGGAAAGGGAAAACACTCAAAAGGAGAGAGAAAAAAAAGGAGGCACACCTGACGTAGAGAGAGATGGGAACCACGGTGTTGAGGATGATGATGTAAGACCAGAAGGCCAGGAACCCCGACAGGAAGGCGCTGTCCACCACTTTGTCCCACGGCAAATAAATCTGGAAGCAGACGCCCACCTCGTATTCCCAAATGGAGTTGCCGATGGCCAGGATCACCCCCATGCAGACCAGGAACCCGAAAATCTGCCGACGGGAAGACGACAGCTCGGTTTGGACGAAAGAGGAGAAGGGGAGAAGCAGGACGGCGTCCCTCTTAGTCCCCACCTACATGAGGTCCTCTGTATCTCCTTTCCCTTTTTATCCATATGTGGTCAATTCCACATTTCAAGCGGTCAATTTCAAAAGATTCTGGATTAGAACTTAAATCCACTCGGGCAGCTTTGAATAATCCAGAACAGTGGTGAAGAACAGAGCTAATTTTCCCCAAGCTGAGACAGAAGGAAATTAATGAACTCCAGTAAAAAATCCACTTTCCTATATTCTCCAGGACGACCACCCTGCAGAGCAGGCCAGGGGCTTGACTGCCCGCCTGGTGGAATGTTCCCAGAAAATTCTCTGCCTCAGTTGGTCAACTGGAAAAACTAAAACGGTGTCAGGTATCTACTCAATGCCCCCAGGGCTGGGAAAAGGCTGCATCCTAAAAAGAGAGAGTGAAGAGCACTGGGTTCGAAATACGGGCACAGAGCGGGTAGGGCTCACCTACCCAAAGCACCAAAGTGTTCATCAAGCGGTCGATGCTAGTCCTCTTGAATTTCGTGCGGCCGCTGTTTTGCATTAATTTGGTATCGGGCCCTACCAAAGGAGAGAACAAAGAATCCTTTTTGCAAAAACGACTTTTCCCCTCTCTCTCTCTCTCTCTCAATTCTGAATTTATTTTTATTTAGTTATTTATTGAATTTATCTGCCACCCATCTCGTAACGAAATGATTCTGGGAGGACGGTCAAATTAATTTTCAAAAGTTTTCAAAGAAAGAAGACTGCCAATATAGGCAGTATTAACAACCACAACTGACCCCGTCAGTCGCCAAGCATCCAAATTTCAATCATGTGATCGTGGGGATGCTGCAAAGGTCGTTAATGGTCATTAAGTCCCTTTTTTCAGTTCCGTCATACCTGCGAAGATGACCAGGCCGAAGCACCACTCCGTATTACGAAGGACACAGCCACGCAGCAACATATTTTGATTGCTCAAGGGGTACTTGCTCTCTTTCCAGTACAGCATCCCGCTGAATTTGTCAAGTTTATTATTAGGGGGTTCGCAAATCACCTCTCCTGAAATTAAAAAAAAAATTGCCAAGGAGAAGATCAGTGACAGATCATCCTTGTTTAACGACGGTAATTGGGACTGGGATTTCCGTCGCTAAGTGGAGCAGTCTTAAAACATGATGTCATGTGTCCGCACCCTTTAGTGACAGCAGTTCTGGCAGTTGCCATTGTTTAAGTGTGGACCGCACGGGTCATTAAGCCAGGACCTCGCGTGACCACGACTTTCAACTTCCCGCAGGCTTCCCCAGTGAATTTACTTGACAGGGAAAGCCACCAATCACCCTCATATCACTGGGATAACCAGAATTTTGAGGACTGGTCATTAAATAGGACTTGTTTAGCATAGTCACAAGTTTGAACAGTCTCCGAACGAGCAGACATTAAGTGAGGACTACCTGGGCTGCATCGCCTGAATGTTGAGCTCAACCATCAAAATAACATGCCATCTTAGAAAGCTGCGAGGGATTAGATTGGGAGAGCCACTAATTATAATAATAATGAATTTTACCGTCAAAGTGTGCAAGATTGTTGGTGTCAATGAGCTCGGACGTCACTGGGGTTGCCTGTCGGACTTTCATATTGGTCTCCCTGCGAAGAAAAGCAGTTTAATCATGGCCAGGGGGAGAGGAGGGGAGGGGAGGGGAGGGGAGCTTCTTTAAAGCACTGTTTCTCTAACTCGGAAACTTTGAGACCTGTGGACTTCAACTCCCAGAGTTCCGCAGTAGTTGGGGAAGGGGAAGTCCACCAAGTTTCAGCAACTGGGGGATTCTGGGAGTTGAAGTCCACAAGACCTAAAGTCACCAAGTTTCAGAAATATTGCTTTAAAAGAGCGGGCACAATTGGGGCACACTCACCCGTCCAGCTCAGCCGTCTCGATGTAGCAAAGTCCGTGAGGCTCACTGCTGGACAACAGAAGCAGATCAGCCTGGATTTGGGCAGGGAGAAGAGGTAAACAAAAACAAAAAAAACAAAAACAAATCATGATTTATGTCATTCACTAGCAGAACAATAAACCCTCAACCCAACCTTGGATCAAAACATAGCCAGAAACGCTGGGCTCAAACATGAGTTTTAAGCAGACAGGACAACTCCGTTTATTTTCACTGAAGATAATTCTTAAAATTAAAATTACTGTGGTTCCTATTAATGCGCTCTCTCTCTCTCGCTCGCTCTCTCTCCATCCATGCATCTATCCATGCATCTATCCATCCATCCAATGTAATTGAATTTAAATGAAATTTGAACGAACTTAAATGAAGCATCTGAATTTAAATGAACTTAAATGTAACTTAAATGAATTTAAATGAACTTAAATGAAATGCATTTGAATGTAAATGTAATTTAAATGAATTTAAATGAAATGCATTTGAATTTAAATGAATTTAAATATAAATGAAATTTATACGAATTTAAATGTAATTTAAATGAACTTAAATATAAATGAAATTTGTAAGAATTTAAATGTAATTTAAATGAACTTAAATGAAATGCATTTGAATTTAAATGAATTCAAGTGCAACTTAAATGAACTTAAATATAAATGAAATTTATAAGAATTTAAATGAACTTAAATGAAGGGCATTTGAATTTCAATGAAATGTAATTGAATTTAAGTGAGATTTAAAGGAACTTCAGTGAAATTTAAAGTGAAATTTAACTTTCAACCACAGCCTCTCTCTCCCTCCCTATTCTTCCCCCCTCTGGCTGCTTCAGAGACCTCCGTCCACCATCCAGGTCACAGGCACTTACCGCCACAAACTGGTTGTTTTCTAATTTTATGATATCACCAACCCGGACGTTCATCCATTGCTCTTGCTGGAGGCTGGCGGCGAGACGGGAACCCAGAAAGGACGAGAGAGACGAGAAGGAGTAAAACATTTAGGAAGGTAAGATGAACGATGAATCTGGTGGTCGCTTCGGCATTTCAGATCTTCTCTGCATTACTCTGGAAAGCCTCCATGCTTCAGCGCAGTGTACCTTTGAATGCCAATGACCCATGAGGAACGGCAGGCAGGAGATTTGGACCAGAGAATGGGAAATTTAGGCTTTTTTTTTTTTTTTTGGCCGGAGAATTTTTGAAATCTTTTCCACCCGTTTGCAAAAGACAGGGAGTCCTCAGCTTACGACCGCAGCCGAGTCCCGACATTTCCTTCGCTAAGTGAAACAGCCGCGAAGTGAGGTTTGGGCCCATTTTACGACCTTTCTCGACGCAGTTGCTGGTCAGAATGTCGCAAAAGGGGAAAACACACCCCCCGGGAGGCTGCGACCGTCAAAAATACGAGTCGCCGGCCTAGCGTCTGAATTCTGATCACGTGATGCTGTGACGGTCGTCAAGTAGGGGAAATTGGTCCTATGTTCCTTTTTTTCAAACAGTCGCTAAACAAATTGTCGTAAGTCGAGGACTGCCCATGTTCCCCCTAACCCCCCGAAACACCTTCCGCGGGGGGGGCTCCCAAATTGGGGATTGTACTCACATCCCGTTAATCAGCAGTTGTGAATGTCGGCTGTTCACTTGGTTGTCACTCTTATGGCGAAACTGTCGGCAGAAAGTCAGGTTGGAAAGCAAGGATTCGAACACAGGACCCCTCTCGCCCAAGATTTCGACTTAAATTGACACCCCCTGCCCAAAACTGCCCCTTCTCCCCCCCCCTAGAAGTTAAAACGGAACAAAGCTTGGTAACAGGCAAGGACTGCAAGTTTCCTAACTTGGTTTTTTATAAGAAGAGATTGGACAGACCGTGGTCTGAAACGGTATAAGGTCTCCTGCTCGAGCAGGGGGTTGGACTAGATGACCTTCAAGGTCCCTTCCGACTCTTGTTATTCTGTCCATCCTTCCTATTTGCAAAAGCCTTCGAGCCCAGGAGAGATTCCTCCTCTTTCCGATACTCACGTAGTCGTCGGTGGCGTCCTTGACGGCTGTGATGGTCAGCACGAGGACTAAAGGCACAATCGTGGTGAACCAGGACAGGGAGGAGATCTGTGGGATCAGCTGGGGGGAGGGAAAGCCCCGAGGGGCTGGGTTATTGGTCTGGACCCCCGGCCCGGGCAGGCCTGGAGGGCAGCGCTCAAAGGACGAGGGCGGAGATGAGATCCCGGCAAGGATATGGTTAGAGGAACCGAACACGGGGAGAGGAAGAGGAAGAGGGAGGGAGAGAGGGAGGGATGAGAGGAAGGAAGGAAGGAAGGAAGGAAGGAAAAGAGATTGAGGAAAGAGGGAGGGAGTTAATTGGGCCAAACTGTGGTTTACTGAGACACACAACGCCCCCCTCCCCCTTGGCATTTGTGCCAAAGTGGGAAGCTTAGAGGCGGCACCCCACGGGAGAAAAAAGGGTGTGAACCCCCTGATTTCTTTGTTTTTTGGGGGGGGCCCTCCCGCCCACCCCAAGGAAGAAATCCCACCTGGAGAATGAGGAGGAAGAGGAAGTAAGTGTTTGCAACTTCCTGGAACTGTTCAAACAGGTTGATTGGCAGGAAAGTGACCACGTTGTATTTCGACGTCTTGATGCAGTTACTCTGCGCAGGAGCAGGAGAAATTAAGAAATATAAAATAAAATAAAATAAAAATATAAAATAAATAAAATAAAATAATAATAAATAAAATAAATAAAATAAAATAATGAAATAATGAAATAAAAATAAATAAAATAAAATAAAATAAAATAATAAAATAAAATAATAATAAATAAAATAAAATAATAATAAACAGGACATTTTATTTCTGTTCTTATTTCTGGGTTTCTGTCCTGCCACGAGACACACATCAAAAAGGTCCAGAAACCTCAGAAAGAATTTCAAAGAACCACACACAGACACAGACACAGACACACCTGGCATGTTGGGTTCACACAAACACGCCTACAAGGACTTTGATAAATTGGAAAAGAGAAGCCGGAGTTCTTTGGGGTGATTCACGTGGTGTGTGAACGCCACACTTCTTCTCTCCAGCCCCCCAAAATGTGATTTCCCCCCCTCTTTGTCTCAATGGCAACTCTTTGCTCTGTTTCTGCTGGAGGCAAAAGTTGGCAGCTTCTGGCATCGGGGAGTTCGGAAGGCTGACCCCATTATCCCCTGCCGGGAAGGATGGGTGCTGGGACTCCCCCCAGCCCTAAAATGCCAGACGGGGACCCCCCTGTGAAGAGCATCGCCCCGTTTCAGCCAGAAAGGAACGACGTGGGTGCTGAACGTGTTTTGTGTGCAATTTTAGGCTTGCCACTCACCGCGTACTGAAATTTTTCGTTGTATTCTCGAGAATTGGACCTCACGCGCCGTTCCTCCTCTGGAAGAGAACCAAGCGGGGTTAGCCGGTCGACAAAAACCAGGGTTACTTTTCCCCTCTCATCTGGGATTTCAATCAATGCTAGTTGAGTCGGAGACCCCGGGGGCCCAATGGAGAGCGCCCGGTTGGGCTGGGCTGGGCGAGAAGGTGGGCAGCCCTGCTCCGTCCTTGGCTGCAAGTCTGCCTGGCTGGTCCGTGGCTGTGCAAAGCCCCCAGAAACACACAAAGCCATACACCCCAAGGAATGAATGGAGGAATGAAGGAATGGGAGGAGGAGGAGGAGGAGGAGGAAGGTGGAGGAAGAGGAGATGAAGAAAGATGGAAGAAGAAGAAAGATGATGGAAGAAGAAGAAGAAGAAGAAGAAGAAGAAGAAGAAGAAGAAGAAGAAGAAGAAGAAGAAGAAGAAGAAGAAGAAGAAGAAGAAGAAGAAGAAGGAGGAGGAGGAGGAGGGAGGGAGGAGAGAGACAGAGAGAGAGAGAGACAGAGAGAGAAAGAAAGAAAGAAAAAGGAAGGAAGGAAGAAAGAAAAAAGAGAAAGGAAGGAAGGAAGGAAAGAAAGAAAGAAAGAAAGAAAGAAAGAAAGAAAGAAAGAAAGAAAGAAAGAAAGAAAGAAAGAAAGAAAGAAAGAAAGAAAACCCATTTGGGATTCTATAACGGAGAGGACACAAGGTCAGAAAACTGGAAAAGATTTCCTTTGGGGGGGGGAGAAAAAGCAGGGCTATCCGCCCCCCCCACTCTCCCTCATGCAAAGGAACGGTGGGGAGGGGAGGGGGGGAAGCCGGGGAAGATGAGGTAATGAGTGCGGAGAGTGCCGCAGCAAAAGAACACCCTCCCCGGAGACCCTTACAGACAAAGCTCGAACAGCTGGCTTAGCACCAGATCCCACCCCCCACCCCCCCTGGACCCCGTCACCCCCTCTTTCCAAAGAGATCCCCTCCCCTTTGCCCCAGGGCAGCTGACCCCCCTACCTGTCCCCCAAAGCAGCTGGCTGCGGGCATCCGTGGTCGCCACGGCCACCCAGGGCCATTTCTCGGGCATCTCCTTGGGGATGGTCATGGCTACGGCTGGGGGGGGTCTCTCCTGGACGGACAGATGGACTGGGGGTCCCTTTTCTCTCTCTCTCTCTCTCTCTCTCGCCCCCCTCGACCGGCTGCAGAAGGGAAAGTCTACCCTGACATTGAAAGAGAGAGGGGGGGCACCTCCCACTGCTGCCCAGCAGCCAATCAGGGGCAGGGATGGCGTCACCAAGACGACCGCTTGATGGGGAAGGGAGGGGGGAGAGGGTCTTTGTGGGTTGCTTTCCCCTTTGCGGAATCCCCCCCCCCAGCAAAGGATGGGCTGATGGATCAGCAAGAAAGGCAAGGAAATCGAATTAAAATTCTTCCTCCTTCTTAAGGATTTCTGCGTTCTTTTCTTCCCTGGCACGGAAGGCTGGGATCGGGCAAAGAGAACCTGGAATCCTAAGGGTGGAAGGGACCTCAGAGGTATTCTAGTCCAACCCCCTGCTCAAGTTCATAGAATGATAGAATCCTAGTGCTGGAAGGGACCTTGGAGGTCATCTAGCCCAACCCCCTGCTCAAGCTTGTAGAATGATAGAATCTTAGGGCTGGAAGAGATCTCGGAGGTCATCTAGTCCAACCCCATCCCAGTTAGCCCTCACTTTGTGAGGGACTAGCTCTAAAATCGCCCAGCTGAATTTTGTGCCTAAGGCGGAACTAGAACTCACTGTCTCCTAACGATTGGCCCACAGTCGCCCAGCCGGTTTTTTCATGCCTAAATCAGGACTAGAACTCCCTCCCTCCCTCCCGCTGGGTGCCTTAACCACTAGACCAAGCTACCTCTCCGTTTCACACTTTTCCACAGAAATTGCATCCCGAGGCCTCGGATTCTCCCTCCCGCAGAGCCTGTTAGCTCAGCAAAGTCTACCTTAACCTTCTTTCCTAACCAGAAAGAGACCTAGGATATGGTGTGTGTGTGTGTGTGTGTGTGTGTGTGTCTTACCTGCAGGGTGTTTCTTAGAACAAAATTCCATGGCCTTTGCGGTTGAGTGGTCAGGCCCATAGGAGACGCTGCAAGGGGGAGAGAAAAACATGTGTTGCAGGAGGAAACAAACAAACAAAGAAACCAGCATGCTAAACCTGGTTATTAAACTTAGCCTGTTCTCGAACTTCCACAGTCCATCCATTCAGAAACTAACCAGGCAGACCGGATTCCCAGAAGACGTGAATATTTGTAATAATATTAATGATTTATTACATTTACAGGCTGCCCAACTCGCAGCAATTCCGAGCGGTTTGCAAATGGCGAGAAACATTTAAAAACAAGGAAATCGAAGAAGAATGAACAAACCCAGATGGGAACGAAGAAAAGAGGGAAAAAAACGTGGTGCCTTTGCATTAACCGAGGTTAAGGCCAACCAGGTTTTAATCAACCTGGCTAACCAGTGGCCTGTTTAGAGAGATGGTACAACCTGGTCCAGTGCTAAGGACTTCTAAATGTCGGAAAAATTTTAATTTCCTGTTATTTTAAAACATTTCAAAAACAACCCAGGCTTGTGTCAGGTATAAATGAGAAATGGTAGGGAATTGGGTGGGAAAATATGTCCCTCTCTCTTCAAATATTGGATCTGGGCATCAGCCAGTGAAACTGACCCCTTCTGGGTGAGATAAAAGCAAGCTACATTGAGTTGAACTGTGGAACTCCCTGCCACAAGGAATAACACAACCAATTTTAATGGAGATTCAGCAGATTTGTGAAAAATTGGCATTTGATGGCTGTTACTCCCTGTGATACCGGTTAGGGCCGCACTGGTTATACAAACCAGCAACACGGTTACTCCGCTAAACCGTGATCAAACTATGGCTTGATGCACCCACGAAACGAGGCCAGCGGCAGCGTGTCAAGCCAGTATTTCGTTCCTGAGTATTGAGGAGGCGAGACCCAAAGCATAACGGTTGATAAGAAAAGCAAATTACTTTTTTCACTGAAATAATGTAAAAAAGGACTTTAAAAAAAAAAAAAAAAAGGACACCTGCAAACACACAAACACACACATCTAATACCTCAAACTGTTTCTTCCTCCTCCGGAAACTAGGAAACTAGACACGACTCCGGCAGAAGAAATGAACTAAAGAGACAAAACTGTCATCACGCTATCCAGGAAAACCGGGTCTGTTTGGGCCATCGGACGCGAGTTCGAGGATGCGCTAGACAATCACAAGCCAACTACGCACCATCACTGTGACTGTGGCTAGCAACAAAGCCTTGGCAAAGGCTCTTCTGCCGTGCTCCCCCCACCCCACCGTCTTTCTTGCGTCAACCACACAACGCTTCCTTTGCTGTGTATGACACCCTGTGCGAAAAACATTGTGGTTACTTTTTTCCTAGGTCGCCATCCGCATGGACGTGTGATGTGACGCACGACAAACACAACAACCACGACAACCAGCACGGTAAGCGTGCAGTCAGGGAGTTGGGTGCCTCTCCCACCACATCAGTTGAGCCCTGGAAGCGCTTAAGCCCTCCTAAACCAGGTTTGCTTTTGCGACAAACTAAGGTTTGTCCCTAAATGTTTGAGTGAACCCAGCTGGCTCAGAGACCGATTTGAGAAACAATGGATGGCGGGGGGGGGGAGGAATAAGTGCTGGCTGGGGGTGATGGGAGTTGTAGTATCACAAGTGTGCAGCGTGACAGAGTGGAGAAGGCGACCTGGCCCTGCCCCAAAGGAAGGGACTAGGCAGGGGCTCTTCTGAAGAGCCTGGATTCCAATACCCATCAGCCACAGCTAGCTGGGAAGGGTGGGCTTCTGGGAAGGATGGTGTCTATGTAAATTAGATAGATAGATAGATAGATAGATAGATAGATAAGATAGATAGATAGATAGATAGATAGATGAGGAAGGAAGGAAGGAAGGAGAATTGGAGGAGAAGAAAGGAAGGAAGGAAGGAAGGAAAAGAAAGAAAGAAAGAAAGAAAGAAAGAAAGAAAGAAAGAAAGAAAGAAAGGCAAAGAGAGAGAGAAAGAAACAAACTCATCCCCAACCATTTTTGAGCCAATCCTGCCGTTCAGCAGCCAAAACTAAAAAACAGAAAAAGGCTGGATTGTTGTTTTTTTTAATAAAAAAAACAGGCCAGGAAGGAGATCCTAGTCCTCAATGTTCCCTCCGGTGGTCTGGTTTGCACTTGTTCCGGGAGATCTGGCGTGGGGGGGGGAGAACCGGGGGGGGGGAGGTGGGAAGCATCCGCCACGGAGGAGACTCCAAGCGGGAGAAGGAAAGCAACAAGGTTTCTCTCTTGTGTTTTGATTCTTTCCTCCTCTTTGTAAACCATCACCAAAGCTATTAAAAACACAACTTACAAAGAGGAGGGGGAAGCTCAACGGTGGGGTGTTTTTTTGGGGGGGGGGGGAAGGGCCCCAAAGGAAAAAAAAGCAGCCTTGTTTTCCACCACCCTCCTGTCCCCTTTCTCTCTTCGCCCCCCCCCTCACCCCTAAGTTTGTTTCTTGAGCAAATATTTTAATTCCCCAAACCGCAAAACGTAGAGCAAAGAACAGCTCCTGCCTGACACGTTTGCTTCCGAAGTTGTGTAAACTCAACCTCCCTCCTCTGGATCTAATCCTGGATTTTTTTGGGGGGGGGCAATGACGCAGAGAGGGGTGCAAAGATCTCCAGAAAAAGCTCTTTTTTGGGATCTCGGGGTGCAAAAATGAGGTTGTAGGGGATCAATTTGGGAACCAGGGGAAACTTTAAACCCAACATCCACCGTTTAGGGTGTGCCAAGAAAAAAAACCAAACCACTTTCAACGGAGCCACTGAAGGCAGGGAAAATAAACTATTAATTTTTTTTTAAGGAGGCTGTTTAAGCAAAATCTGTCTTGAAAAATAAAAACATTTTCCCAAACCAACCAACCAGGAGAAATTTAAAACCCTCGGCTCTTGATATCCGACCCAGGGTGGATTTGGCTGATTTCAGCTTCCAATTTTCAAGTTGCCCTCGGATTTCTCTCTCCGAAAAGCCACCTTGGGATGCTCCAAAGCCAGCTTATGGCATTGGCCCTCATTCTCGGTTTGTTCAGCCCGCTTTCCCCTCACCTGACATCCTAAAACAGGCCGGGATTCGGAGTCCCAAACGGAATCCACCAGGCCTGCCCGTCTCCGAAGATGACACGAAAACACTTTGACTCCTTCCAGCTTTTTTTTTTTCCCCTCCAGGTTGGGAAAGAGGCCAAAATAAAACATAAAAATTAAAAAAAAGAAGAAGAAGAAGAACCTAGCCGAGAATTCAGGGAAGGGATGACCAGCAGGAGCCGTGCAGAAGGCAAAAAACCTGGGATTTCTTTCCATTTGTTCGTTCACCCTTGGGAAGGGCAGCCTCGGCCAAGGTTGGGGAGAGGAGCCGTGCCGGCTTAGCAGAAACTTAGCAGGGGACCTGGAGCTGGGTTTTGGGCCGCGAGAGCAGGAGCCCCAGGCGCCAAGAAAAATGCGAATGGCTTGGCTAAATCCGTTGGCTTTTGCGTCAATCGATTACGGGCAGCAACAAGGGACGGTGGGCCTGGGCCAAAAGGTCAAGCGTGGAAGAGAACAAACTGTCAAAGGCTGGCATGAATCGCAGGGGTGATGATTTATTGGGACTATTGCCCTACTGTTTTCTTTGTGTTTCTTTGCACACTTGTACTGTGTTGGTCTTATATTTTTGATAATAGAATAGAATAGAATAGAATAGAATAGAATAGAATAGAATAGAATAGAATAATAACTTTATTGTCACTTTGAACGTACACTAATCGTACATTAAAATGAAATTTCGTTGCATTCAGCTCTCAAAGGGTCACCACCTCCAATATACACTACATAAATATAGAATAATATAGAATACAGAATAGAATAGAATAGAGAATAGAATGAAGAATAGAATAGGAATAGAATATAAAATAAAATATAGAATATAGAATAGAATAGAATATAGAATAGAATAACTTTATTGTTACTTTGAACGTACACTAATCGTACATTAAAATGAAATTTCTTTGCCTTCAGCTCTCAAAGGGTCCCCACCTCCA